AATAGAATCAACCCAAGAAGATTCAACCAAAATCACAGACAAAGACAAGATACTAAAACTGACAAGAGAGAAATCTCAAAGAAATGTCAAGTTATATACAAAGTTTATCCCATCAGGGATAAACACAGGACCTCTCTTCATAAACAATGCAAGCAAGGAAAGAATGGGAAAATATATTCAAAGTGTGAAGTGAAACTCAATTTCAACCAAGAGTACTCTACCCAGCAAGAGTATTCTTCAAATGGGAAGAAAAGATAAGAACATTCTCAGATAAACAGAACTTGAAATAATTTACTAACACCAGACCAGCTCTTCAAGAAGTTCTGAAGGGATTGTTATACCAGGAAAACTAACGACAGACACACAAAAATAAGAGAACAAAGAACAACTATGAAAATGGACAAGTTAATGGTAGGGACAAGTCTGGGATGATCAATAAAAACATTGATGTTAACTTTGAGAATTTAAATGGAAAGATCAGACCACAGTAACTGCAAACTCAACAGAAGAGAGAGATTAATTACATGAACCTGTACAGAAGAAATAGAATTTTGTGACTTTTGACTAAAACACTCCTGATTTTCTCCTCTTCTTTGTTTTCCAGATTTAAGAATTTTTGTCTTCTTTTTAGCTGTTGATAGGTTCAGCAATTTGCTAATTTTTTTGGAAATTGAAACATAAACTTTTCTCACTTCCTGACCCCTCTGGAATTGGAAAATATTTGTTGATATTCTTATTTTCTGGTAAAATGGTTATTTGCATAAGTTCAATAATATCTGTTGCCTTGCACCAGAAATTTGAAATACTGGTTATTGCCAGGGCTTCAACTGACCAGAAAGCTAAGGAACTAAGCTTGATCTCAAGAAAGCCAACAGAAGCTATTGGAAAGATTGGCTGGTACTGTAACAGTTCTGCCTGACTGATATGTAAAGAATGTCACTTCCTGACAGAACCAAAACCCTTCCAACACAAGTGCTTGAAGACACAGGCAGATGATGAGTCCCTGACTTGTCTCAGTAACCTTGTAAATAATTTAATGTGAAGTTCCTTATAAAAGGATCCAGCAAAGCCATCTAAATTAGTTAGTGTTCTTATGGAGCTTTGTATAGTAACAGAAAACATTGAGACTAAATTTATTTATTTATTTTTTTTGTAAATAAGTTAGCTTATGCCTCTTTGGGAAAAGAGAATGGAGAGAGAAAAAAATGTATCAGAATAAAATTACAGTGCACTTAATACCAGATTTTACCTTTGTCCATATTTGTTTTTTGAATTTTTAGTATCTGCCTATTGTTTCAACAGAATCCTAACCTTTTTCCTGGCTTTAAGCCTTAGGCAAATTTTTCTTAACATTGTTGGATTTTCACTTATTAGAGCTAAAACTGCTTTTCCTGAAATTAAATATACATATATTAAAATATAGGTGTATGTGTGAGTGTGTGTGGGTATATATGTGTGTGTGTGTGTGTGTGTATAATGACTGCAGTAAGCTACATAGCTTCAGCTAGGTGCTACTTTATAGTATGTTCATCCTATTCACCGAGTTTATGCCCTAAGTCAGACATGTGCTCATAGATATGTTTATATCCATTGTACTTGTTACTGAAAGTATTTAGATTAGTTAACGTACTTTGTGAATCAATAAAATATGACAAAAACTATAAATGGCTTTTAGTCAGGGATTTTATTGATGACTAATATTAACTACTATTGACCAATATTGACTTGTTAATATCGTTAGTCAATATTATGGTAAATCCATACAATTAAATTTATGCAGCCATTAAGATATATAGATGATCTCTATGTATGAAAATGTTGATGATATGTATAAAATATCTTTAATGAAAAAATAATAAAGTTAATCAAAATAAAGTTAGAAGGGTAGTGATCAAAGAAAAGTCATTGATGGATATTATTTCTCTAGTACCTGGAAAAGAATAGTATGGTAATATTTTCTTAATGGGAATTAGTCAATCAAAATGATCAATTATCAATTAATCAAAAGAAAAGAGTTTAAATACATTTCTCTAACTGTAAGCTATTACCACAGTTAAATGTTTGGTGCTAACAACTATATCCCAGTATTTTCTTCAACACAGTACAGTGTCCAGAAAGTTTAGAATTTAATTGTAACTTGATGACAGTGATGTGATTAGATATAATGATCCTTTAATGCCTAGTGTATTATTTTGTCAGTAAACAAATAATTACTGCTCCAGTTAAGCAGTATAAATATCTCTGCAAACATGTTTATGTTTATGGTGCTATTTTGGTTTTAAAGAAGAGCAGAATTAATTTAAAAAGAAAAAAAGAATCTTCATGGTAAGAATCTTTTTAGTAGAAAGGAATGAAAAGATATTCTTCCTCATATAAAGTATGGCTAAAATGAAAGAACAGAATTCTTGCATCTAGGGGCTTACTGAGAATATGAAGTGTTCTAGGCTTGGTTATATCAGAAGAATCAGTCACTAGAGGAAGATCGTTGTACTTCCAAAAATAAATAAATAAATACATAAATAAATAAATAAGATTTTTCTCTAGACCTAACTAGTTCAGAAATTAATTGCTTAACTTGATTAAATAGAATGATATTATCTGCCAACATCTATATAAATGAGTTAACGTACATGTTTCAGAGAGAGTAGACTAAACAATTTTAGGCCAATATGTGTGTATCACAGTAAAAGTATTATCTTGCTAAACTAAATGCCATCACCCTATTCCTGATCCCCACAGTAGCACAAATTCTGAAGACAAAAAATTTATTCTTTCTCAGTGAAGATTTCTAGGGTGGATAATCTGGTCTTCAGGGGGCCTGGGGGAGGGTATGGTCCTCAGTTTGGGGACCATGTGATATATGTTTTCCATATGCCTCCATCTTTCCTTGGCTCCACATGACACCTCCCAAGTTATCCATACAACTATCAATAGTGTAGACAGGGGAGCTCTTTCTGAAAACTAAAGTCACTCTTAAAATATCTTCACCATTACCTTCTTAAATTAATAACTCTGCTAGATTTTATAATAGATCTTGAAGAGAGGGGCTCTCAGTAGTCAGTCAGTCTTCTTCATTAGCTAATTAAGCTTCATTACACAAGGCTCCATAGCTATGAAACTATAGTTTTTGCCCCAACCAAATAATTCCTTCATAGGATACATTGTGTGGAAGCATGGTACTAATCTGGCCAGGGACCAGTTCTAAATTGCTGGAGACAAGAATACCTGTTACTAAACTTTTTGTTTCCTTTGAATAAAAGATTATGTGGCTAGAGAAAAGCTCAATTCCTCATAATTGCTATTTATCCCTAAGAATGCTATGATTAGTAGTAGTACATAATTAATTTCCTTAGAGAACACTGTTAGTTCATGTCATCTTGAAACACAATAATAATAAAAAGTATAGCAAAAATCATGAGGTAAGTTGTGACTGGAGTGTTTCATATTTGTAGAGAGGAAACACACATTTTCTGTTAAGTAAGAAGGGCTGTACATGTAAAGTTTTTGACGTGAGAACAAAAATACATGGAAAGAACCACAGGGCTAGCCCTGTAACTTAATGCTTAAGGGAAGCCTCATCTCACATTGCTGACCTTGTTTTGAATTTCAGCCCAGCTCAGAAACCTGAAAAACACGCTGGATGCATGTACATGGGAGCCCCAAAATCCCAACAGGATGGAGAAATGGAGAGGAGATTGTGACATGACATGAGGGGTTGCTTTCTCTCCCTCTGTCTCTCTGTCTCTCTGTCTCTGTCTTTGTCTCTGAGTGCACATGCCCTCTCACAATTAACAGGGAAGCAGAGCAACTCTGTCTGGTAATATGAAGATATGGATATTGAAGGGACAATAGTAAGATTATAAATATTATTAGAATTTTTCCCTTGCTTGATAATGTGTTCAACTATCTGAAATACAAAAGCTCCTAATAAATGCAGGCTTTTTTTTTTTTTTTTTTGAGAGGTTTTCGCTATAGGGCGCGTGCACTCGCCAGACAGACAAGGCTTCTTTTTTATACGTAAATATATATATAGTTAGAATTTGGGGGGGAGGTCTATTACTCTTTCCTTTCATCTTTATTTTAGTAGTGGAGTCAGAGTATCTCCTCAACTAAAGTAAAATTCTGGGCAATAAATAGCTGAAATGGAAACCAAAATACATGAATTATTATCCATGATTGTAAAAGTTACTTGTCAGAGTCAATTTTTTTATCATACTTTAATGTTGACTTCAAACTTAAAAATGACTATTTCTCTTATTTTACCAATATAGGTTCTATGCCAGGTAGAAAAAGCAGCATTTCCTTTGCAAATAGCAAAACAAAGCTAAACTGTCATAACAGTTGCAAAGACAATTTTTCTTAAAATATTAAAAATATCTTGCAAATATAACAGCACTGAATACTTTTTATTATATAGAAGTTAATAATCAACAAAATGACTTATTCTATGACACATTTATGAGAAGATTTAATAAAAGAAAAATACGAGGCGCCTTTTCTATGGCAAAAGAATGAGATAATGGACTATACTAAAATTATCATAGTGATCGGGTTGCCAATCTTCTCTCTTCAACAGCATATTTTGGAACAAGAAACATGATACTGTGCACTCATTACATCCTTCATTTGAAGATTTCAGAGCCCTCAATACGGTTCCATCTGCAGTAACCAGCACTGTTAATCCCACTTAAATGATGGTTTCCTCCTCATATAACTGTGTCTCACTATCAAGAGCTTCACAGAGGTCGTTTTTATTCTCTTGTGTTGCATGTAGATAACTGATACAAGCCACACAAAGTGAAAGGGTTACTAATCCAAAAGCCGTTACAGGTTGTTGAGGTTGAATGAAGAACTCTGGATTTACAGCTCAGAATAAGGTCTTTGTGCACACACTTTTGAGCCCTGAGTTTTGAAAGTCTTTTTCTTTGAGTGGTTCCTTTGTAAATGGTGGAGAGTCAGGTGCTGAAGACATCTTGACTACAATTTATTACCTGAGGAAAGCAGAGGGGTAGAGTCAGAGGCAGCTGCAGTAATGTCTTATTTGGCTTCCCCCACTGTGGTATCTGCACTACTGTCGGCACAGGGGCTTTACCCAGATAGATGCCTGAGAAGCCTCCAGAAGAAACCACATTCCATCTAGTTCTGGACACCATTGCCAGGCCAGAAATGCAAGAATGCCAGCACAGCTTCCATGGGATCAACCTCCTCTCTGCTCTCGCTCCTGATATAGTTAGGATTTTAAAGTACGTATGCCCATTAAATGTTACATTTTCCTTTTACCTACTTGTGAGTAGATAAAAATGTATGTCTGTTCCAGATTTGATGCTCAGCAGTACTTCCGTTTTCCAGAGTTTATATACAGCACTGGTTTCTCCACTTAATGCAGTATCCATAATCATACTCATCCTCATCACAAAATGTTTTACATATTCCTTTCACTTTTTGGCATCTCTCAAATCTGTATTTTGGTGAGAAGTCACTTTGGGCTGCAATCAAGAAAGACATATAAGCTTAGTCTGTTATTCATTTCGGAGTCTTCTTACTAAGAAGAGACAAAATCTGTTCTGGTTATGAGATCTTGTGATGCAAGATGGAGCGTATGTATGGTAAAGTTGCTTAGAAGCACAATTTATCAGTCATTTCAGAAAGAAGCCAAGCTTTTACTTACACACATTTTACTTGCACAAATTATGTATGACTTTATCTTGCAGTTCACATGAATACTAAACTTCAGCTGGTTCTTAGACTTCATCACCCTTGGCTTTTTTAAGATATTGCTGATAAATTAGTTTTTTAAAAACCCTGCAATTTTCATTTCTTTTCTTTCTTTTTTTTGTGAGAGGTTTTCACCATAGGGCGCGTGCGCTCGCCAGACAGACAGAGAGAGACATAGAGACAGAAAGCGAGAAATCACCCCCCAGGGGGGATGGTCACGCCGCAATCCCTTCTCCATTCTCCTCTCGGGATCTTGGGCACGCACGCACGCACACGCTCCCGGCGTGAGTTTTAAGCCACCGAGTCCGGGACACGAACCGCGGTCGACTACATGGGAGTCCAGCGACATAGCCATTACGCTAACTGCTGGTTCCCATTTCTCCCCTTTTGCGATTGTTAAACCTATTCTCATTGCTTTTTCGCAGTATCACTTGTCCCATGCTTTGTTCTCCATTCCAGATCTTACGTAAAATGTTCTTTCATTATACTAGAACAAATAGGTATTTCCTTTAACAGTCTGCAGTGACATGTAATAAATGAATAACATAATTGTGTACTTAAGTATATACATTTTTCTTGAGAATTTTTTATGCCACCTTTATTCGTACAGTCCAAATATAGAACTACACCTTGCAGTTATAATTTTTCTGATATTTCTATCTCTTACCCAGTATTCTCTAATACTTGGAGCAGAGTGGTCATGCAAATATTTACTGATAGAGTCATTTACTGAAAAAACTAAAGGACATTAGTTATTCATAGAGAAACATAGCTTATATGATCAATATATTAGTATCCTAGTTTCTTATGACTCACCTAAGACAAACGAAAGGAAAAAGATATTCTGAGATTCCAAAAGTATAGCTTTGCAGTTATACACTAAATTTAGTAAATGGAAAATGATTTTGTTATTTTAAGATTTTATTGTTATTTATGATTCAATTTACTGTAATGGTGGCAGACTTTGGAGTCAGTCTTTTATTTCCTAGTTCTATCAGTGTACTTACTACTCAGTCATTCCATCTATGTGAACAACAATAAAATAAACATAATTTTCACAAATCTAATTTGAACATTAAATTATTTGTGTGGCAGCAAAGTAAAGCAAAATAACTTCATTGAAATTTGGAGAATAAATTTAATTTAATTTAGATATAAATTATGCAATATCATCTCATAGGGTCTAATTGTCTGCATAGAATCTAAAATTTAGAAACATATTTCATTTTGCTCAATATGATAGACATGAGTTTGAATTCATAGTATTCTTCAAGCATCAGGTTAAAAACTACACAAAAACTAGGACCAGCAGACGATAAATGGTTATATTGCTGGACACCTACATAGTCGAACAGGGTTCTAGTCCTGGACCCAGCGGCTTAAAACTCACACTGGACATGTGTGTGTGTCTCTCTGCACATGCCCTATGCCAAAAATCTCTCTCAAGAAAAAAAAAATAGATAGAAACTAAAGGAGACTTCTTTCTTTTTTTTTTCTTTTTTATATATATAGAGATTTTGTATAGGGCATGCGCACTCTCCAGAGGGAGAGAGAGAGACAGAAAGAAAGAAATCACTCCCTAAGGGGGCTGGTTATGCTGCAGTTCCTTCTCCTGCATTCTCCTCTTGAGATTATTTTGGGCACGCTCACACATGTGCCAGGCCTGAATTTCAAGTTGCTGGGTCTGGAATGCGAACTAGGGTTGACTACATGGGAGCCCAGCAATGTAACCCTTATGTCATCTACTGGTCCCACTAGAGGAGACTTCCAATAGTCTACTTTATTGTCCTTAGTGAAGTTGGTAGAAAAGAGAAGAAAGTTAAAGTGGAAGAGACTATCCGGAGGGTTTTGACACATGACTATATGTATGTCCCTAGAGAACGTAAAGTTGATTCATAATGGCAGAATCCTTGGCCACTGGTGAATTCTGGTGAAATCTAAAGTAAATTCAGCACCATATTTGAAATAATTGAAAGTAAAAAAGAACATGATGTATGATTCAATTTAAATTTTTTTAACTTTTGTTGAGCTAGGTACTTTTAAAGCTAATCAGCATTCCTGAGCATATATATCTTAAAACCCCACCAAATCTATGGAGATTTTTAAGTACATTAATTTGGAAAAGAGAAGTATGAATTTTAAGTAATTAGTAATATGAAAAAAAAATCTATTAATGTTATTTTTACTTTACCATTATTTGAGAAAATTAGAATATTTCAAATCACAAGGATTATAGAATCATGATCCGAGAACAGATGGAACATGTTACAAAACTGGTTCTATTACTTATTTATTTGCAAATAAAGTATTCCTATAAAATCACGGATTTTTTATGCATAAATTATGAATGAGAATAATAATTTAATGTTATTAAAATTGACTACATGACAGGTTTTCAACACATTCTTGAAAATGTATATTATTAAATAAATGCATAATTTCTATTTTTTGCACCAAAATAAACTCATACTTTAATTTCATTTTTTCATAAACTATAAGAAGTCTCTACCTACATATGCATGAAACCAGTTTTTAATCTGTACAATGTTAGGCAAATTGCAGCTATGCATCCCTGAGTATTTCTGTCAGATGGTTGGAACTGGCTGATATATACTGTACAAGAACAAAAACGAGCAACTAGAGGAAGGACACATGGCATCTCTTTCACCCACTTATACTTCTCCAGAAATTTTGCACATCACTGGAGAAATGGGGCCCTTGAGAAATAATTTTCACAGAAAAAGAGAAATGTAAACCATATGGACTTCTATCAGGGGAGTATATTCCAGAACGTTTTCTAGTCATCTCAGCAAAAGCAGGTAGCATAAAGACGGTGCAGGTGTACTGTGGGTAAAAATCTGCAAGTCCTGCATGTGCATACCTAGAGACAACCCTCTTAGGAAGCCAAACTCTGTGTGCAGTTCTTTTTCCTCTCAAGAGAAATGACTGACATACATCTCCCTCCTGGCTAGTAATAAATGCCTCTGCAGGTCATTCCTATACTTACCTCATGACACGCTCTGAAAAGAGAAAGGCAGAATGGAAAGTAGGAGGTAGTTTTTGGACGATGTTTGCTCTTGCTGGGCACAAGTTGAGATCAAGACAAGTTACGATCCAGAGCAACACCATGGGTCAGCTGAAATTTGAAAGGGTGTACTCTTTCACAACAGACAGCACTCAGTTTCAATTCTGGCTATTCTATTTATTATTTTTTATATGATTTACTTAGCCCGCAGGATTTAGATTTACCTATTAAATTGAAGTTTTTATGCAATTTCTAAAGGTATGAGATAAAATGTGTAAATTGGTGTTTTCTTATAGTGTTAAAAATTTTTCTGACACATCAGGGTTAAAGAATTTGGAGGCTATCCTGGTAATTAAGCTCCAAAAGTAGTAATAAGTATAGATTGGTGGTTTGTGAAGAAGACCGAGAAGAGCAGAAGCTATTGGTGTTAACAAGAGAGTCCAGGGAAAACAAAAGGAAAAGGGATTTGGTGACAAAACAATGGAGGCTTTTGGCATTTATGAGACTATAAAAATAGACTATTCATTTCATAATCACATAAAATATTGGTTCATTCTAATATGTGTTCGGGAGAAGTCCAGTAACATAAAGAATTAAAATAGACCTTTCGGTTTGCTTTTAGGAAAACATTTATAACATTAGCACACAATCTTTTAGTTAATTGATGTGGATGGATGAGCATAGAGTATACAAGAATTGATAATGTGGAGACTACAAGTTTAGATAACTTTTTAAGAAGTTTGGTGAAGAATAGAATAAGATGAATTACAAAGAAAGCTCGGAATAAAGATGAGGAGAGCTATTTTAAAATATGAAATAGACTTGAGGATATTTGTATCTACTAAGTAGGATCAGTTGAAATGATTGAAATTTTTATGATTTTTGACTTAAAAAACTGACAAAGTCAAATGGCTAATCATTTAAGAAGAAACAAAATCAACAGCAAAAGAGGGAATGCAGATGTAGGAATTAAGACAGCTGTAAAGAATACCAATAGTCTAGTTAACCTTCTACTCTCCTTGTAGACTGCTTTAGGAACTCTCTTCTCATATTCCCAAAATATCCTTCCCTATCTTTACTCTTACCTAAAGATCTTGCTCCCTTATTCAATGATCTGATTGAAGACTCTTAAGAGACTTTCTACAGACTTCCACAGCAAAATTAACCCAACTGTCAGCATTTATATCTGTGTATTCTGCTTCTTATTTATGTTAATGAAAATAGCATCTCCATGAGCTAATGAGGAGCTATTTCTTCAGTTAGATGCCACCTACTCTTGCCATCTCAAAAGATTTCTATATTCACTCTGGCTTCTGTGTTTTTTACATAAGCACTTGTCAAATCTTAAATGTCTCAAAGTTTATACGTTCTAAATTGGACTAATATTCCAACCTAAACTTGTTTCACCTAATATCTTCCCTATCTTGATGGACGGCTCAACACCTTTATAGTTCAGACTAGAAATCTTAGTTATTTTTATCTTTTTAAAAGTTTTGCCAGCAGACTGTGTGCATGGTGTAAAGAGAGAGAGAGAGAGAGAATAAGAATTCTCCCCAGGGAGAATGGTCACACTGCCGTACCTTCTCTCCCATCTCTCTGTCCTTTGGGATTTGGGGCATGCACCGTATAGACACACCCAGGCTGTTTTTCAGGGTACTGAGTCCAAGACAAGAACCACGTGATTGGCAACCATAACCACCACACCATGGGCTGACCTTAGAGTCATTCTTAATATCTCTTTCTGTATCATAGCCACAATTAAATCTCTCATGAAATCCATGAAATCTCTCATGAAATTCTATAATGGGATATCCAGAATCCTATTATTCCCCAGCTTTTATACTTTTTCCCAGGACTGAGCTACTATAATTTGCTCTCTATTTTGTTTCAGTAGACTTTTACCCATCCAAGCACTTCTAAATGGTTTTTTGAAACAAAATTCAAAGCTAGAGACCAGCAAAAACTGTTATTATTATTTTTTGAGAGGTTTTTGCTATAGGGCATGTGTGCTCACCAGAAAGACAGAGAGAAACAGAGAGACAGAAAGTGAGAAATCACCCCCCAAGGGAGATGTCCACACCACAATCCTTTCTTTTCCATTCTTTTCTTGGATCTTGGGCACACACACACTCGCACCTGACATGAGTTTAAGCCACCAGGTCCGGGACTTGAACCGTGGTTGAGTACATGGGAGTCCAGCGATGCAGCCATTATGCTATCTGCTGGTCCCCGAGAAGGTGTAATATTTACTAACTGAACTCCCATATAGTCAGCTGTGATTTGAGTCCCAGACTCAGTGGCTTAAAACTCATACCAAGTCACTGCTGGGCGCATATGTATGCATGCCCAAGATCCTGAGAGGAAAATGGAGAAGAAGGGATTGTGGCATGGCCAGCCTGCCTGAGGTGGTGATTTCTTGCTCTCTATCTCTCTATCTCTTTCTGTCTTTCTTGGGAGCCCATGTGCCCTATAACAAAAATCTCTCAAAAACAAACAAACAAAAACAAAACAAAACAAAAACCAACCAAACAAACAAACAAAAACAACAACAACAAAAAACCCTCACATCAAATGCATGTGTATGTGTGCCCAAAATCCCAAGAGGTGAATAGAGGAAAATGGATTGTGGTGTGGCCAATCCCTCTGGGAGACATGGGAGATTTCTGACTTTCTGTCTCTCTGGCAAGTGCACATGCCCTATAGTCAAAATCTTTCTTCAAAGAAACAACATTCAGAGCTGATTCCACAACCTAGTGGTTAAGGAAACCAGATACCCATGGTCAACTGTGATTTGAATCCTGGCTCCAGTGGCTTGAAAAACATTCTAGACACATGCACATGCAAGCTAAAAATTCAGACATAATGGAGAAATGGAAAAGAGATGGTGGCATGACCACCCGTCATTGGGGGTGTTTCTCCCTCTTTTTTTTTTTTCCCCCTCTGGAAATTAAGACAAAACAAAACAATTTCAAATTAGGTTTTTCTCTACCTAAAACCCTTTGGATTCCTTTCAGAATATAAGACAAGATCCTTTCTAGTTCCTAAAAATCCCTGGAGAATCTGTCACCACTTTTCCTGCTGAAAAACCTCCGTTCCCAGTGTGCATTTCCAGCTACTCTTGCTTCCCTGGCATTTCTTGCAAATTTCATTTGTGCTCCCATAACTTCTTCTGTCAACTCTTTGCTCAAATGTTACCTTCTGAACAGGACCACACGCGAAGTCACGTTTTAAATTACTACAATTCACCCGCACTTTTGTACCCTTTCACTCTGCTTTGATTTTACTGTAATACTTATCACCTTCTACCGTACTGCTTCATTTGTTTATTTATTATATTTACTATTTACTTCTCCCACTGGAATATGAGTTCCACAAAGATAGGTTATATCGTTTGTTTTGCTTGTCGATATTTCCCAATATTACTGCATAATGACTGACAAATAGTACGCTCCATGACTGCTTATTAAATGAGGGAGAGCATGTCAAATGTCAGAGTTATGAACTGACATTGATCTTTTGGAGAAGATCTGTATCTTACTTATTTTTGAGCTTTATCCAATTGGATATCGCTTAAAGCTCAGTTTATATCCATCAATATCAGTTTCTTAGACAGGAACTATAATGATTTTTTGTTTAGATAAAAAAAAAAAACTATGACATTATACCAGGTAAGAAGTAAACCATCAATAAAATACTGCCTCAATTAATAAATTTATAATTGGAATTATATTTTGTTCTTGCTTAAAACTATCGAAGTGAAATAAATGCTGGAATATGTTGTTTTCAGATGCATAATACCAGGAAGTATTCTCATTCTTCTCCTCATTGTCTGCTAGAATTTGGTGGTGATAACTTCTCTAAGGATAATTTTATTTCAGTATGATGCTTTTAATTGATTCATGAGGTTATTGAACTACCAAATAATAACAAAAATAGTCAATACATAGTGGCATCCATTTCATCAGGGTCACTGACAATCAATATTCATGAAATTATATCTTGGGTCAGTGAGCGCAAAATGTAAAACTTTCCCTTTCTTAGAACTAACTAGTTTAATTTAAGATTATCTAGCTCTTTTGTCAATTCACATGACGAAAATTACAGTGTATTACCAGGAAAGTTGCCAGAAACCTTCCCATTTGTATTTGCCTTATTTTGTTGTTATTCTTCTTTTATACATTTTGCTAACAAATTACCAAGCTAGACATGTAAATTCTGAGGACTGAATAATTAATAACACCTCTATCTCTTTACGTAAACAAGCTGTAGAACTTCATTCAAAGGGTCTCTAAAGTGTGGGCCTTGCTATCACACAGACAAACACTTAGCATATTTCTTCAGAGAAGTACAGCCTTGCTATCACAGACACAAACACTTAGCATATTTCTTCAGAGAAGTATATTAATTTCACAGTTGACATACATAGGTTCACATTTTTCCTTCCAGTTTCTTATATTTGTCCCTTGAGCTGAAGACAGAGGCTAGTGGCTTGAGTGTATACTTGATTACCCAAGGAAAGACCAGCTCTGAATTTTAGGTGGTTTTGCTTTCACTGATACTCTTAACATAGCCTATTTAATACATAAATATGTTTCTTGTGTTTTCTAGGATATCTCTCACCATTTTTTCAACTTCTTGGTGGACTCTAAACATTTTTATTCTACGATAATAGTATGGCCTCTCAATTCAACTTTAAAGATCTGAGTGTAGGGATGGTTAAGTTTCCAGTTAATTAAAATAAGTAACAAACTCAGGATTAGCAATTGGCATAATGGCTATGTCACTGGACTCCCATATAGTCGACTGTGGTTAGAGTCCCGAACTGGTGGCTTATGCTCACTCCGGATGCCTGTGAGTGTATGCCCAAGATCCTGAGAGAAGAATGGAGGAAAAAGGATTGTGGTGTGGCCATCCTCCCTGGGGGGTGATTTCTCGCTTTCTGTCTCTGTCTCTCTGGTGAGCGCACGTGCCCTATGGCAAACACTTCTAAAAATAATTAATTAATTAATTAATTAAGCTAAGTTTCCCTCCCTTCAAGGCTATCAGTATATCATCTCTAGTCCATATGTAAAAATACATACAATTTTTGAGTAGATAGTTATTCTCGTAAAACATAGGGAATGCTACTGGCTACCTGAAAATGTTACTGATTTTCTTTTATTTTAATTTTTATTTTAAAATTTCTGTGAGAATGAGTTCTTGTCTTTTTAAATTAGTAATTGCCAGTCACATGTGATTTTGCCCCACAAAGGGGGTATTTGGCAATGTAAATTGATGTTTTTAATTATCACAAAAAGGGGAAAAGTTGCTATTGACATCTAGTGGGTAGAGGCTAGGGATATTGAGAAATGTCCTGCTTCCGAACACATAAAGAGGATGATCGCTACCACAACAAATATTGTTCTGAACCAAAATACATGGTGTCAAGTTTGAAAGACTCTGTTATAACTAAATAGAGTCAAAATACTTTTGAGGACATTTATATTGAAAATGAATACATTTCACAGTAGCAGATTTTTTAAGTTATTGACATCTATGAAAGATAATAGGTGTAAGGCTCCTATGTGCACTTAGCGAAGAACTGTTTTATGATGGAAATCATAGGTTTGTTAAAGTAAAATGCTAAACTTTTGTTCATTTGCTTGTTTTTAGGTTTTTGCCATAGGACATGTGCACTCATTGAAGAAAGAGAGTGAGAGAGAGAGAGAGAGAGAGAGAGAGAAAGTTAGAAATCACACCCTAGAGGGAGATGGCCACACTGCAATCCCTTCTCTTCCATTCTCTTCTGGGGGTTCTGTGCACTCATGCACATGCACCTGGCAAAAATTTCAAGCCACCAGGTCAAAGACTTGGACCATGTTTGGCCATGTGGGAATCCAGGTTCTTAATCACTACATCACCTACTGGTCCAAACACTATAAATTAATCAATCCTTTATGAGAGAAATATATACAGAAACAGGTGCTTTTTATTATGTATAATCAATGTATATGTGTTTATATAAAATATATAATTTTATCTAAATAAATATGAGAAATTATTTTCCCATACATATAACTGTTATAAATGCATAGTATGAATATACGTAAACCTTACATCTTCATCTAGAAAATGGAATGGGTTCACAGAAATTTCATAACAAAAATATTAAAGAATATTACTGAGATTCCTTGAGTTTTCATCGTCTAGCCTACATGTATGCATTTAGTAAATTTTCTTTTTCTTTAATTTTCTAAAAGATTATTCAACATTACTTTGAAGAGAGACTTTAAAAAATTCTTACTTTGACATATTGGTAATTTTTTTTTTAAAGAGATTTTTGCTATAGGGCATGTGCACTTGCTGAAGGGACAGAGAGAGACACAGAGGCAGAAAGTGAGAAATCACCCCACAGAGTGGATGGCTATGCCACACTTCCTTCTTCTCCATTCTCCTCTCAGGATTTTGGACATGCATGCACACATGGCCAGAATGAGTTTTAAGCCACTAGTTCTGGGACTCAAACTGTGGTTAACTATATGAGAGCCAAGTGACATAACCATTATGCCATCTGCTGGTCCCACTGGTGATTTTTCAATAAGCATTTTGAATGAATACATATTGTTAAATTACATCCCTGTACTCATAAAAAATATAATTAACATCTTAAAATGAAGACTGTATGGTCCAGATGAATTATTCAGAGTGTTGTAGGAAAGACTATGAGGGGACATCAAAAAATTTATGGAAAATAGGGCCATCTAGTAGGATGGTGATTAGGGTGACTGTATCCCACATGGTCAACTGCATCGTTTGAATCTTAGACCCAGTAGGTTGAAAATATGCCTGGCCTATGTGCGTGTTGTCCAAAATCCCAAGAGGAGAATGAAGAAGAATTGTGGTGTGGCCATCCCCCTAAGAGAGCCTTTCTCACTTTTCTTTCTCTCTGTCATTCTCTCTCTCTGTCTTGCTCAGGCAAGCACAAATGCACTGGGTAAACAAAAATATAAATATATATGTGTGTATACACACGTATATAATGAAAAATGGAGTTGAAGTTATGAGTTCATTCTAGTGCAAAAAAAATTTGAAGTCCATATATAGTATGTGTTTTCCATGAACTTTTGAAGACATCCATATGCTATGAATCCACAGAGGAAGTAGGAGGAAGACAGGGGCACATTGGAGATGAAAAGTGAAGGTTACTGCTACTTCCTCTAACTATACACACATATATAATGAAAAAATGGAGTTGAAGTTATGAGTTTATTCTAGTGCAAAAAAATTTGAAGTCCATGTATAGTATGTGTTTTCCATGAACTTTTGAAGACATCCATATGCTATGAATCCACAGAGGAAGTAGGAGGAAGACAGGGGCACATTGGAGATGAAAAGTGAAGGTTACTGCTACTTCCTCTAACTGGGTATATCTTCAGAATGGAACAACTTTCAAAACTGAAGACATGAATTAAACTATTAGTTGTAGTTTCTAATTTCCTTTGCTAAAATGTTTAACTATGAAATACAGTTTTAAAAATGATTCGTGAAGGCTCTATATTTAAACAGGTTTGTATTGTTACCTCCATTTAGAAGATAAGGAATAAGAATTTCTTTAGTAAGTAATGAAGAAAACTGAGTTAATTTAAAATATATATATATATATATGTACCCTCTCGTCTCTAAAATTCTGTTCTTCCCCTTTTACTTCCTCTCTTATTTCTTGATGTACATTTGCTCTCCTATATAAGAGTAAAATTTAAAGGTGAAGTTGTGATTTTTCTCTGCTCTTTGATTCTTACACTCTGGTCATTCTCTTTCTTCAACTCTGTCTCTCTCATGAGAAAGGTCTGCACTCTCAATGCCTAATCTCCCAAACTCAGTGAATTATGCTTTTTATGGGATAATCTACAGAATTCTGTCTAATAAAATGACAGCAAATTTCTATTGAAAGCTTATAGCTCAGAAATAAACTTTTTAAAATCTATTACCTAATGTTTCCCATAAATTTCTTAAGTCAATTAACACAGGCACATAGAATTTTTAGTTCTTCTGGAGAAACTTCCATAAAATAAGTTCTGCTTACTTCTGGCACCAAGAAATCAGAAGAAAAATGCATCATAAAGGCACCAGATATATGTATAACATAGAACCACTTCTGACTGGTTCAATATTAAATTTTATTTTATTCTTTGTATATTAACCAAACACAGGCTTTGTAGAATATGCTGGGAAGACTTAGAAACAATGGTCCTTTCTTCTTGGAGCATATGTCTTTTTTCTTCTGTCATCCTTACTTCTGCAAGCAGCAATGGGTTCCAGGTCTTATGCAGTAAGCAATCCTAACTTCATTGTCAGGGCACTGATTTCTACATCGACCATTACCCCTTATGCACTCTCTCCTCAAATCCAAGCTACCATACTCTGGGTATTTCTTTTTGGCTGTAAGAAGGAAAGAATGACTGAAATTAGCACTCTGACTATGACACATGCATATTTTAAAAGGAGAACTACCAAGAAGCAAAAGATTATAGTGAAATTCTTCAATTACTCAGCAGTGTTTAAGTGAATTTACTGTCATGTTGTGCAAGACACATCCTAGAAATCAGAATGCCTTGAGCTGAAACTAAATGTTTCAACTTGCCATCCTATGGTGACAACACAGGGACTCAAGGACAGTTCCCAAAATCAATAGCAGAGAGGTAATCATAATTTATCTGTCAGGCTTAGAATCTACAATAATCTAACTGCACTTGAGCTGACCTTTTTATCCAAATTTCTTTCATTTAGAACCTTTTCTACTTACATATTATCTTTGATATGTAATCACCCTATTCATATTAAAAAGAATTCTAAGTTCTGCAAGTGGCTGACCAATGGGTAAATTCACATATTTTCATATATGAAGCATATAAAAAAGCAAATAAGTTGTGCCACTGTTTTCTTCCATTACTTTGGATTTGATAGTTCAGACTTTTTTTAAGGTCAGGCCCTTCTGCTCCGACATTGCCTGCATTTCCAGTAACTGAGAAGTGTTGGTGAGTAGTTATCCCTACTGGTAAACTCATAGACTCACAGGTACATTATTCATGTTGTTTGTTTAAATAGCGGATTCAAACTCAATTCTTCTATTAATACTGGCTTTCTTATCACTACAACTGAAGCAATTAAAAACATGATGACACAACTTAAAGAAACCAAAGCAGAGAAAAATGTAGTTAATCTGCAGATTTTGAATGTTCATTCTAGATATCATTCCTTATCTTGCACACTGTAAATGCTCACTTCTACATATCATTCCTCATCCTGAATTTCCTGATGAGTTCTTATCAAACCTGTATGTGATCTGCCAGTCATCGAAATCTGGATTATACTCACTGTAGACAAAAGTTGTTATGTTTAACACTATTGTCTAATTTACCTTGAACTGACCTCATCTTTTCTCTTATTAATTCTTTGTCTCCTTTCACCTTACAAAAATACTATTGTCTTCTTTATCCTCATTCAGACCTCTAAATATGCTCAAGGCTTTTATCTTTAAATGGCTAATATTCATTTTTGCAAGCATCTGTCTACTCATTCAATGTGTATCTATAAACATACACTTCGTCAAGCTCCATGCCAGACTCTAGGACTGGGGTTCTCATTCTTAGATATGTGGACCATTGAGTGAGATCATTATTTACTCTAGGGAGTGGGGATAGGTTGTCCTGTGCATTGTAGAGTATTTAGAAGCATCCTTGGCCTCCACTCAGAATCAGGAAAAATAATCTTGACTATCTTCTCAGCACAAAACTATGCCATTCTGTATTCAAAATAAATGTCAAATTTCAAGAAAAGTGATTATTGCTACATTTTTCAATTTGCCAGCTAAAGTGAAAGAAAAGAGAGAGTGATACAGCAGTTCTCTTTTTTGCGCATTTATAACATCTAGAAAAGCAAAGTTAAAATCCTAGAAAGAAAATTTCCTTGCTTAGAAAATTTAAAATTTTTCAATACAAAAAATATATTTTTTAAACATAAACTCCTTTTTACTTGTAACTTAGTGGAAAGAACATTTTTCTACATCAATTTTGGGTACAAACTTTTGCCATCCAGAAGACTGAAAATGAGTTAGTAAAACCAATGAAAATATGTCATTTATTTTTATTGTTTATTCTATCATATAGTTATGATTTATAAGGTGAAAGACACCATTCTAATTGTTTTATTATATAAAATTTTTTTTATATTCTGTATCAAACTTCTTGTAATTTTGTGGAGAAAATAGATATCTGATATGATTTTTTATTTTTGAGGGTTTTTTTGGGGGGAGGAAGTCAGTAAGGGTAGGAGTTATCTAAAGGTTTGGTCCATAGAGATGAAAAAGAATAATGACCTTGTTTTGAGAATATAAGAAAAAATAACAAAAAGAGATTAACACAATGTTATAATCTATGTCACTGTATTCCCCAAATGGCTTAGAATTTGTTAAGTCTGCAGGGCACATGTTTTTTTAAGTCTACTAAATAAGTAATGAATAGCTTTTATTTATTAGTTGGAAAATTCAATATGGCTGTTACAAAGAAAAAGTAAGCTAAAAAAATAAAAATGCTTAACAATGTGACCGACCAATGTTAATTATTAATCTTAGAACAAAGAGAATCATCACATGTTTAATTTTATATGAATCCATATTAAGTTTATTTTTGTTCTACTATGGAGCTGGAAAAAAATGAAAGTGCCTATTTTGAAAGAAGATGAAGGAAATCATTCTCTTAATTAACTAAATTACTTTGTAATTCCATCGATGTCTGGCTCTTATGTAGAATTTTATCTACTTGCAACTTTTAAAAAAATTTAAGAAAGATTTATTGCTATAGGGCTTACTGGAGAGACAGAGTGACAGAAAGCAAGAAATCGCCCCCTGGGAGGGGGTCGCCATGCTGCAATCCCTTCTCCTCCATTTTCCTTTCAGGATTTTGGGCACATATGCACACATACCCAACATGAGTTTTAAGTCACTGGGTCTGGTATTTGAGCAGCGCTTGACCGTGGGAATCCAGCGATGTAATGGTTTTGACATCTGTTGATCCTTCCACTTGCAACATTTAGATAGTTACTTTTTAGTTCATTATGTGTGAATTTTTATAGTGCTATGATGAACTCTGTACTACAATCAGAGATAAGTCTGTCTTCTAGGCTTCTACTATGATTTCTGTTGGATATTTAAAAATTATCCAGGTACTAAAAAGGGGTATTATCCTAAAAGTTAGTGAATATGAGTCTGATATTATTGCAAGTATAAACTGGGTGGTCTTAAGCTTATCCTTTCACCTTAAGCTCACCTATCTTTTCACCTCAAGCTCTTGAAGAAAGAAGTGGGTAATAAACTTTTCATCTCCAAAATGACTTGTTCTATTTCCCTGCAACTGATATAGATTAGTTTAGGAGAAGAGAAGCTTGCTACATACCTGATATGAAGAGATAGTCCTGAGGGGGGGCAAATCTCACCCAAAGTACAGCTGCATAGAGGGCATTACTTAATATCTATGTATCTGCAGACTAAATGACAGAGGTAGTGGGAAGAAATACGTAAAGAAGACCAACAGGGGATACCAAGAAAGGATTCCTATTAAGGAAAAGCTGTCAATTTTATTGCTTAAATGATATGAAAAATAAATAGGTCTGCAAAACTGAGTCATTTACTCCTTAACAAATGATTATGCTAAATAATATTTTCTCTCAATAAGCTATATAGCACCACGAAGAATAGATCCTAAGTAATGGTAACTGGATGAAGGTGATGATACTAATGCAGTGATTTTTTTTTTCAAACATCATTTTAGATTTATAGAACAGTTGCAAAGACCTTAGAGGCCAGCTTCCTCTTATATTATATTTCAGATAATCGCAGTAACATTTATAAAAAATAAGAACATAATCTAATACTATTAAATAAATAACACTTTGTCCACCTTTTACCAGTTTCCTATTATTGTCTTTCTGCCTGTTCTAGAGTCTAATCCAGAATACACACTGTATTTAGCACAATAATCTTTAAATTCCTATGTCATTATCACACTTTTAATAAGAATAACTGATTTCTTCTCAGATTCATAAATATAATACTCTCATAAATATTTGCATATTACCTGGTGAAATTGTGACCCAAAAGAGCAGAATAAAGAAAAAGAGATGAATCCTCATGGTAGACAGTTTTTTGGGAAAAAAAGAGTGAACTGAGTTTTTATCAACTCAGGTGTTTTGAAAAAAGGAAATGGAAATGTCTTTATTTATAGATTCTCTTAAGAAGTGATTTAACTACTTATGCCTATCAAGAACTAGATCATTTTATGCTTGGTTGAACAGTGCCACATTTAAAGAATGTGGGCACAAAACATATGATTTTATTTTTATAAGATAAAATCTTATACTTCTACTACCCTAAACAGACTTTCACGAAAAGAGAATATTTCAGAAGTTTTTATTTTTAAGCAATATGTATCTGGATTGCTAATACATCGAGGCAAAAATGTTACTGGAACCTGATTCTCTACTGTATGTTATGAGTAGTGCTAAATATTCTAGTGTCCCTAATAGTAAATTGTTGAATATTTGAATCACAGGATTTTACAGATGGAAGTCTTCATTAAGTTCACTTTTCTTCACAGACAAAAGCAAAGAGAACAAGGGAAAATAAGAGCCTTTTTTCAATTAATTAATATAGTCTGTAATTATTTCGGATTATTAAAAGAGCAGAGAATTCTGGATTTATTAATAAGTTGGATACATATGCTATACAATGGGTGTTTTAGTATAGTTTATACTTTTTTATAATAAGTCACCAGTTTCACAAATTCTAAGTACACTATTTTAAATATTTTTTATGAATCTAGCTTACTTGCTAGATTGATTTTACTCCCTCTTAGTAGAAACAAGTGGTCATACAAAACCGTCTGCAGGGCTGTAGCATGGTTTATTATGGGCAAATAGAAACAACCCACGTGTTCATTAATTGATGAATGGATAAATAAAATGTGTCATATGCACACACTGATACATTATTCAGCCATAAAAAGGAATAAAATACTGAAGCAAGTTACAACAGGGATGAATCTTGGAAGCTTTATGATTAAGTGGATTAAGTCTAATGCAAAAGGCCACATACTGCCCAAGTTCATTTGTAGGAAGTGTCTCAAATGGTCAAATCCATAGATGCATAAAGATGACTGGTTTACAAGGTATGAGAGGAGGATGAGAGCAGGTGGATTTAGGGCTGACTACAAACAAAATTTGCTTTTGGAGTGATGGAAATGTTCTGAATTAGATAAAGATGTTGCTCTCACGACTTCATTAACATACTAATGCCACCAAATTGAGCACCTGTAAGTGGTTAATTTTGCATTATATCACATAATGTATACTTATATATACATTATGGGGGCCAGACATGGTGTGGTGGTTAAGGCGTTGGACTTCCACATGGCTAACTGCGGTTCAAGTCCCAGACCTGGCAGCTTGATTTCTCACTTTCTCTCTTTATCTCTCTGGTCACATTAAAAAAAAAATAGTAAAAATTTAAAAATATATACATTGTGAATTATATCAGATTTTTTTTTTAAAAAGGAGTGCTGTAGAACTACCATATGATCCAGCAATTCCACTCCTGAGTATTTACCCATAGGAAAATGCTCAGTCAGGAAAGTTCAGGCACATCTATGTTTATTACATTATTCACAATTGCTAAGACATGGAACCAACCCAAATGTCCATGAATAGATGAATGAATTAAAAAAGTGTTGGCACATATACTCCATGGTATACTACTCAGTCACAAAAACCAACAAGACCCTGGCATTTGCTAGAAAGTGGACAAATATGGAAGAAATATTGCTGAGTGAAGCAGGTCAGGCTATGAAATGGAGACATTGCATGTCTCCACTTAACATACACTGACTGCCCACACTCTATGGGAGAGACTGAAAAACTATTGAAAATGAAAGTATTAAAAATTGTAATGGACACTAGAAACAAAGTGGAAAGAGTATGGGAGGGGAAGAGCATAGGAAAGGAAATATGGGGGGGGAATGGAGAAGTAAGACACTTGTGGGGCACAGATAAAGTTTATTATCTATTGACAAGGATGTGTATAATAGTCTCAACTGGGCTGGACTGAGGTGTAAATTATGCTGGATAAAGTCTCTTCACAATCTAAATGATGTATAGCAATTTAATGTATAAATAATAATAATAATAATAATAATAATAAACATATACTGACTGTCTGCCCTCTGTGGTAGAGACTGAGAGATTGGATGACATAAAGGCATTGAAAATAGTTATGGACACTGGAAACAGTACTGAAGGTGGGTAAAAAAGCAGAAAAAAATAGAGAGGTAATACATTTACGGGACAAAGAAATGTTTTATCAACAGATGATGACGTGCACAGTATTCTCAACTGGACTGATCTGGAGTGTGTTTCATATTGGGTAAATTCTCTCTACAAGTTAAATGATGTACAGAAATGGAATGTATAAAAATAATAATTACAATGATTTTTAAAAGGTTAAAAAATTTTAAAAAGGATAAACATTTTGAAAAAGAAACCATCAATCTAGCAAGCAAGATCAAATACAAATGCTTAATTTTATGCCCTCCCTGCTCACAGAATTTGTTTTAGGAGGAATGGGAATTTAAGTACCTAACGTAATAAAAGATTTCCTTTGCTTCTGTAGCACATGGCAGTTGTGAGATGCTTCCTCTGAAAGCTGCTTCAATGAATGACTAGTTTGGAAACTCTAAGCACCAAACTTGTCAGAAGAAACATCAATAGGAAAATAATTATACTACTTTACTAAAGCAACTTTGCAATGCAGACTCAAGTCAATTGGTCCCCAAATCAAGTGTCAAGATTGCCATGCTACGAATTATTGAAATTGCTGTGTTCTAGTGCATCACTCTCCAGCCACCCTCTATTTTAGACAATTAACCTAACTTTTAGCATCAGTTGGTTAGTAATTACAATCATTGTAACACTGTTGTTAAGTGGTAATGCTCACCAGATGCTAGACTAATTACCTTTACCATCTCTTCTATGTCAAGCTCAAAACAACCTTAGAAAGAAGTATTATTTTATCCTTACAGACTAAGAAACAAAAGAAAAGATCATTTAAATAGCTTCCTCCATATCACACAGTAATAGAGATGGGAGACTACAGTTTGAACAAATGACTTCTTCTTTATATGTCTGTTACCTTTAAGATGAGGTTATTGTCTCAGATCAGTTATTTCCAAACTTTCAAAACTATGCTGTCCTGGGAAGCAACTCTGCAGTACCCTTGGGCACTATAAGGAAACACAATATAAAAATAACCTCATTAGAAATTCTCCAAAGGACTACAGGTCTTCTAAATCTCAGAATTCATATCATTTTTCTGTAGAAGGCTGCCATTATATCTTCACAATGATAACATTTTATGATGGACACAGCACGATTGGGATATACATTGTGGTACGGGGTGACCTGTATCTACTTTCTCCCCAGAAAGTTCAGGAAGACCAAAAATGCATGCTCTTTTCCAATGTATTATTTAACCAAATCAAATGAGAGAAAGCTTATAATATCAGAATAAAAACCTCTTGGTCTTCCTGCAAAAGGCTTTGGGTAAATATACAGCTATGTGTAGAGATGGTTCTTATTATACAATGGAGGAATAACTACATCACCTAATTCTGAGCATTCCTTCACTCTACAAAGAAACCTCCTTTTAGCAGGAATACATTCTGAGGAAAACACCATTAGTGCACTTGCTCATACCTAGCTGCTACAGTCTACTACAAATCAAGGTTCTATGGCACAGAAAGTGAATTCCGTCCACTCAGGGGCCATGCTGAATAAAACAATGCAAGGCTAAATCAAGCACAAGGTAAAATCACATCATCAAGAGAAGGAGTAAACAAGAATGTTACAAAGCTACTGTGGCATAACACAGCATACTGCTTTATAAAAAAAAAAAAAAAAAAAAAAAAAAACATTTTATAAGAGTACATTGAGATAATTACAGCTGACTCTTCCAAATTATCTAAGGATGATGTCTAGGCAGGTTGGAATTGTTCAACATTAGTTAAGGAGATGGTGAGGGTCTGACTAAAATTACTGAGACAACATAGTCAAGCATGGAGGTGGATTCTCCATGGGTTTTCAGTTTTCCAGGGTCAATATCCTTAGATTCAAAAGGTCCAGTCCCCTCGCAAAAGTTCTATGCACATTCTCAGCTTTTGTTCAGCCCCTCTCCCAGCCATTGTGTTTTTCCACTGAGACTGTGAGTTAACAGGGCTGGTGCTGTGGATATCTTGACTCCTTTAGCCTCTTGTCTGTGAGGGCAACTCTCAGAGACTGCACCATGGTGCTGGGTTATGGATGCAACTTGATTAATCACTATACACTGGGTTGTCGAGAAAGTCATGATGCATGTTTGCATAGAAAGTCATAGAAAAATACGTCAGGGCTTTCCTGACAAACTACTACTATTGAAGAATATGATATGATGGCCTATATTTATCTCTTTTCCCCAAAGCCAGGAAAGCCAGGAACTTTATTCATATTTCTCCCTATCACCTGACATGCAAAGCTTAATATTGTTCAACTTAATAATGACGATCCTAATAGTAATACAAATTCTACCACCAAAAGCAAACACTATTGATTGGCCATATCATATGTATTAGACTTGTTGTGGAGAATTTACCTCATTTATTCACATTTATTTATAAATATCTACTAAATGCATAATGTACTGGTATTATTTTTCTTGTTTGTGGAGGAGAAAATTAAAACAGAAAAATCAAATACAGCCTTCAAGGCTTTCGAGTTAGAATGTGAGAACCAGAATTTTAGGTAAATATTTCTGTTATAAAAGTCCATGCTTTCAACCACTTGCTCTATGTTCACTGGATAAATGGAATTCTTTGGTGAATTATTACTGCATGATTTGGACAAAATAATCAGCATTATATGAACTTGTGTGTATGCATGGAAACTTACTATATTGATTGCATTTATTTTTTAATAGAATTTATTTTTACATCAGTTTTAGGTTCCCAGAAAAATTGAAAGTACAGAAAAATTGAAATTACCCCCAATTCCGAAACATGCACAGCTTTCCCTGCCATCGACATCTTGTAGCACAGGGGTACTTTTGTTACTACCAATGAATGTACCTTGATGCATTATTGCTCCATGTTTGTAGTTTACATTAGGATTCTCCTACTGC